ACCAGTCTAATGTGGACAGAGACGGATGCAGTGGGAGAGTTGTATTTGTTAATATTTCTGTGTGGGGCTGGAGGCGTTAGGGATGGCTTTGGAAAAGAGGTGGGGAGGAGGAATTCCACAGAGTGGCAGGAGGAAAAAACATCCCAGTGGAGGGAACAGCAGGGCCAAATACAGAGGGGTTCAAGGCATGGTCAGTGCTGGGAGAGGTGGGTAGTTAGGCAGGGCTGGAGCTCAGAGCTTATGGTTACGATAAGCAGAGGAGAAGAGCCTGCTAATCTGAACTGTGACCACATTGTGAAGAATGTGGGTCCTAGCTGAGAAGTCTGGGCTTTATTTGATAAGTTGAGAGAACTATCTGAAGCAGGTGGGCAGGGGAGGGTAGGACCCAGGCAACCTCCTCCAGCTTGGTGAATAGTCCCTGTGAAGGAGGGGTTGGGGACCCACAACCGCAGGAGACGCTTGTAACCACTGTCCAGGTCCAGGAGGAGAGCCACAGAGCCAGAGTGGCAGCTGAGGAACAGGTTGCCCAGGGGGTAGCTCTGAGTGACCAAGACACTCATTGGGACTGTGTGAGGCAGGCCTCTGGGGATGAGGACAGAATGGTCCAGTGGGAGTCCCAGGTGTTTGTTCTGGATGCCTACACACCCAGAGGAGGGAGGGAGCAGAGGATCAGCTAGGGAGTTAGACTTTGAGATCCTGGTGGGGAAGTCTACATGTTTGTTGTTGAGGGGAGTGGAGCTGGAGATGCATGGTGGGGGGATGGCAGATTGGGGATGTGAAGTAGGAGAGTGTGAGTGGAAGAGCAGGGAGGAAACCCAGGGGAGCCAGCCTTTAGGGGCAGGTACGGTCTTCTGATCCTACTCGCTCCTCTACCCTCAACTCAGCATAGCCTTGTTCTCAGCAATCCAGCTGTTCCGGCCTTCTTCCTGCTCCCTCATGTGGTTCCCTCTGTCTGGAACGTTCCACCTTCTCTCTGAGGGGGTGGGGACTAGGAGGGCCTGGAATGTTGATGAGGTAGCAGAGCCTACAAGTGTCTGCTGTTTATTTATCTTTGAGGGAAAGGAGCCAGATGGGATCTGAATTTGACAGCAGAGGCAGGGTGGCAGCAAGATGGGGAAATAAGCCTGTCGGTACTGAGGGGAATGGGTGAGGAGGGGAGAGACTGGAGAGGAGAGGGAGGTTCAGAGAGAGCTAGCTGATGAGCAGGGACTCAGGGATACCAAACGGTGATAGGATCCCAGGAACAAGTAGACAAGGTGTGGTTTTGGAGAAAGAGTAGAAAGGGAGAGAGAAACAGAGGAGAAAGGAAGAAAGAGAGAGAGAGAGAGAGAAAGGAAGGAAGGAAGGAAGGAAGGAAGATAGATAGATAGATAGATAGGTAGATAGATAGATAGATATTTCCCTCTGAAACAAGATGGAAGGAGGTAAGGATGAACATTACTCTAAAGGGAGGCTAAATTCTTCCCTTTCTTCAGGGTTTAAAAAACAAGTCTCCCTGAAGGGTCACACTATCTTATTAGCAATTTACACCACAATGAAAATAATTTTCCAGACCATTTCTTACAGCAGGTTTAAATCAGGGGAGGGAAGTCAAAGTCTTGTGGAGGGACCCAGACTGCTCTCCAAAATGCAGGGCTTGTCCGCCAACCAATCAGAGCAGCGAAGGAGAGGAACTTCTCCTCCAAAAAGGGGGCTTTCCCCAAATTGGCAGCGGCTGGGACCCCGGGAAACTAGAGGTTGGGACCCCGCAAGGTTGGTGTCCCAGTCTCCTTTCCAGCAGGTCTGTGAGGAGCAGCACTGCACCCGGCTCCGCTAGGAGAACCTGCCTGCAGCACCCGCGGGGGGGGGGGGGGGGGGGGGGGGGGGGGGGCGCGGGGGGGGGCTCTTAAAGGGGCAACGTCAGAGGCGGTGGCGTCAGCTCCACCAGGACCTCCCCCCTCAGGCAATGCAGGGATGCACCCCCCCCTTTTGTGTGTATCTGGGAGGAGCTTTTGGGGAACCCCATGCTGGGAGGTGATGGGGGAGTGGTGCAGGCCCCTCATTCTGGCACAGGCTCTGACATGCAGCACATTTCTCTGGGGCCCATCCCGGCTCTGCCTGTCAGACTCATCCTGGGAGTGCAGCCAGGGCCGCCCGGGGCCCCCAGTGGGAGGTATGGGGGAGGTTGAGGGGAGGGAAGGCCTTCATAGGAGCCTGGGTAACCCAGGAAAGCTTCAGTGAAGGAAAAGCAGAACAAGTTGCAGGGAAAGTGTCCATTTCCAGGAGGGGCTTCGCCATTGCAGTGGCTCCTTGGTGGCTGATAAACTGAACTTCCCAGCAGTCCCTGAGCTCAGGCAAGCCCCCTGCCCCCCAACCTGCCCCCAACGTTGGGTCCCCACACAGTTGCCTGGTTCTTTAGAATTTCTTTCTGAAGTCTGTCTTCTGGTTGTCTGTCTCTCGGTGCCTCCTCTCTTGCCTGAAGCACCGGACCTGCTTCTTGGGCCGTGAATTCCTGGGTGTGGGAACTAAAGGTTAGTGAGGGACCCAGGGCTCTGACTCACTCCACCAGGCCTGTGGGGTTGTTTGCTAACTGAGGTAGTAAGCTGGGTAGCTGAGGTTGGAGATGGGGCAGGTCAGAGTGCCAGGGATGAGGGCATCAGCTGTGGGTTGCGGAGGCAACAGCCAGGGTGGAGTCAAGGTTATCTGGGACTGTTCCCAAGGGCTCAGCGTCTAGGCCAGCCTTCCCATCCTAAACAAGGCTTGCATCAGCCCCATCCCACTGCTCCAGGGAGGGAAGGTGTCTGGTTTTCAGCTCACTCTGGAGGAAGGCAAGCCACACCTTTCCCAAGGACTGCTTGAGTTCTTTGAGAGCAAGGACTGTGTCCCATTCTTTCTAGAAGCCCTGCTCCTCGAAGTGTGCCTGCCTACTGGCGTGTTCCTGTGTGAGCTGTAAGGAAGGACCTCAGCCACAGGTCATCCTCTCCTTCACGATTTTTTTCTTCCTCTGCCTCCATCAGTAAAAAAGGGGTACAGACCGTCTGCTAACTGACCAGTTGGGTCACACACCAGCTACTTTTCAGCCTCCACTCATTCCTTTTCACTAGGCAGGCTCTCCGGCCTGTCCACACCCTCACACAGCCACAGGGCAGGTAGGGGAGGGTTGGCACAGGAGCTGGGCTGCCAGCAACACAGGGCAGGAGGCTCTGCATAAAGCAGTAGGGATTCTAGGTTCCAGGGGCCAAAGGCTCCAGAAAACTGGCCAGGTGAGAAGGTATTTAAGCCAGTGCAAGGAGGGGGAAGGGCCAGGGGAACCTGGAGCCAGGCCAGGCTCCTATAGGCTCAGAGCCCCAGCTTCTGCCCTCCCACGGTGCTGAGGGCCACGGAGAAAAGCAGTGCCTCCTGGTGGAAGGAAGGTCACAGGCTCAAAGAGCCGAAGAGGGTCACATTAGGGAGCAGAAGAGGCAGGCAGAGGGACCTCTAAGGTGAGTTGGGGGTGTTCAGAGCCACCTGAAAGTTTCTAACCCTAAAGCCCAATAGGCTTTTCAAAGGGGGAAGAAGGGTGTGTGGTGGTGACCCAAACCATCCTCCTGACACCGTATAACTGCCTTTCTTCAAACCGAATAGCATAAGGCTATAGGAATGTCCCCATCTGGTCCTTTCTGAGTACCGGGGAGCAGCATGTTCTTTTGTCCTCTTGCCCTGGCTTGGTCAACCCAGAGCTGAGGGCAACAGGTTACAGTAGAGGCAGGCTGCTTGAGCTACCTGTGTCAAGAGAGCCACCATGGTCACTCTTCCAGGCAGCCCAGTTTTGACAGGGTTTCCAGTAGCAAGACTAACAGCATCAGCTTCAAGTCCCTGTGGAAGACCAAGCACATAGCCTCTTCCCTGGGTGCCAAGCTCCAGCAGGCCTGGCAAAGTTGCAGCTTAGGGACTAAGGAAACGGAAATGAAATGAAGCTCCTAAGTGACAGGCTGGTCCAAAGCCCTGCCCTCATCTCCCTAAGAAACGCAAGCCCTGGGTGCTCCTGAGGAGCGGGGACTCCTGGCTCCCCGGCTCTGTTGTCTCATCTTCCTTACCTGCCTTGTACTCTGTCTTCTGTGTGATGGGAGAGGTATAATCATGTCCCCACCCTCTCATCTGGGACTGTCAGAAAGATAAAAGAGATCAGCTATAGGAAGTATTTTAGGCTCCTAGAAGAGAAGCACTGTGCTAACATAAGGTGTTATTAAAGTGAAGTGTTTGTAGATTGCAGATGAAAGGCAGCCAAGAGCCTCACCATCACCCTCCACAGAGAAAGGGTGAACTGGCCATTAGGGCAACAGGGGGAGTGACAGAGAAGGGAGAGAAGAGTTTTCCTCTGCTCTGCTGGTTGGTCTCCCACTTGGGGATGACCAGGCAAAATAAGCTGTTAATAAGGCCCCAACTTATGCTCCTGAGTCTGGGGTCTCTGTGGGATTAAACACAGTCTCATCTTCCATGAGGTCCCGCAGCCTCCTGCCCTTCCCTTGGAGCCCTTCCTAGGGAACGGAAGCACCGGGAGGCTTTTTATGTCAACTCTGGCCTCTAAGCTAGTCCTACCTACCTGCCTTTTTTATTTTTTCTTTAAGATTTTTCCATTTATTCCAGAGAGAGCATACATTTGAGGGCAAAAGCAGGGGGGAGGAGCAGAGAGAAAGGGGGGAAGCAGACTCCCTTCTGAGCAAGGAGCCCAACATGGGGCATCTCAATCCCAGGACCCCAAGATCATGACGTGAGCTGAAGGCAGATACTCAACCGACTAAACCACCCAGGCACCCCCCTTCCCAACTGCTTTTAAGCAGGGGCGAATTTACAGAGGAGGGTGTGGCCCTTATCCTGCAAGCTTGTGTGTCTAAGACTCAAAGTTTTCACTTTCTCCTTAAGCCTTTCCTAAATCTACCCCTGCCTTCACTGACCCTGTCAAAGGCTATCTGACTTGCTAAATGGAACAGCCTTCTTTAGAAGGAAAAGCAGAAGTGAGTGTGGTTTCCAGAATTGTCAGAGACAGGGTTCGAGCCCTGGGCAGAAGACCGTGGAAGAGTCCTAGCCTTCCCCCAGAGATGCTTTATTACATGGTTTCATCGGTCGTCAGTGAATGGATCCTGTGCCCATGCAAGGAGACGGGGACGTCGCGCTTTACATGGCAGACTGTTCCCCTTTAGCAATGCAGTCAGATGGGGCGGGTGATGAGTGGGTGCTTGGCTTCCCTGCCCGTGGGCAGGCTCTGAGATCCCAGCTGACAGAAACGAAAGCCCGACAAACTGGGAGGAAGGAATGTTCAGGAATTGGTGACTTCCATGTTCTGCAGCCGGTTTTCTAGGGGGACATCTCTGGCTGCCCCTTTCTTTTTGCTGCCCTCATGCTGCTTCTTCTGCTTCTTTGATGGCTCCTGGTCAATGGGTGCAGGCTTCACAAAGGGGATCAGTTCTTGGAGACCTGAAGGGACAGAGCCAACCAAATAACCGACCGATTCTCAGGAGTTCTTGGGGAGAGTTCCACAAGAGGATGATCCCAATGAACAAAAGGGCACCCACGACGGGAACTAGTTTCATTAATTCTTTTCTGGTCTGAATTTTAGCTGCGCTTAAACAGGATGTCAGACTTGTAGTGGCTGCTTTCTCAGCTTTACCCCTGTCATGCCTAGCACCAGGGGACAGGCAGAGTTCTGGGGACTGGTACCTTCTGGAAGGGGGTTTGTTCTTCACGAGAGCGGGAAGACAGAAGAGGAAGAGGGCCTGGGCAGTGAGTCTTACCAGGCGGCATGAACTCCTTCAACTTCTCAGGCACGACGATGCCCTCCTCTGTCTGGTAGTTCTCCAGGATGGCGCAGATGGTGCGGGTGGTGGCACACATTGTAGCATTGAGCATATGGACAAACTCCACCTGCAAAGCCAGGGCCCCCAGAGGAAGCACGAAACTCAACCTAGTCTTCCTTGTGACCAGGAACCACCCACTTAGCCAGACTCCCCCAACGGTAACTATCCAAATCCAAAGCATTATTGATCTTTTGCTAGACTAGAATTGTTTAGTACTTATTCCCTATAATAATAATTCCAGGAAGATTCCTCATATCTCCGTCAGTGTCAAGTGATAGGTCCCAGCAAATGGACAGGAGTTGGGCCCTTTGAGGGATGGAGGAAACTGTCACTGCGGCCTCCCCTTTTAACCCCTTTCAAGTCCCTGACTTGGAAAAGATTAAGGCCTAAAAACTGGGTTTGAAGAGAGAAACTTACAAACCCAGACCTTCTTGGGGGAGGGGGAAGACACTGTCTTCAGCATGTCTTCTGCACACAAATGGGGATTTTTCTTTATCTGGAGTCACAGAGAAAAAAGCCCAAAAGAGAAGAGCTAGAAATACCTTGTAGAACAGAGCTCAATTCAGGATTCTATCTAAAAGGATTCTGTCCTGATTTAGTAGAAATCATTTTCAGATTCCCTTTTTGGTCTAGATTGAGCAGCTCAGATTTTCCCACGATGCTGGGACATAACGTCCACCAAGGACTGAGAAATAAGATGGACCTGTTCTGCACAAGGCCCTATTTCCTGCCTCCCGAGGGGCCACCTACCTTGTCCATCATCTTCTTGGTTTGCCCATATCGGATTCGGAGCCGGCGAGCCTGATAGTCTGTGCAGTTAGAACAGGAGACTAACTCACGGAAGGCTCCCGAGCCCGGAAACCAGGCCTCCAGGTCAAGCTTCTTACTGGCAGCATGATTCAAAGAACCTGAAAGGGAAAACCCCTAGAATTCATGAAGGAGGGATGGTATTTCAGGAGACTGACCTTTAGCAAACCTAAAGAATTCTTTAATTTACACCTTATCCCCAGAAGTGAAATCACGCCCAGATATTCTCATCACCAAACACTCCCAAGTGAGAAGAGTGTGATGTTTTAATTAATGTGGGCAATTAATTGGACTGTGAACTATTTCTTTGTGTGGCAGTTCACCTGGCGAGGGTGGTGGTTGCGGGCTGTGGGAAAGGGAGGCAGATACCTGAGACAATATTCACAATGTGGTAAGGGATCCCCAAAGACTGGTAGAAGTCTTCTGCGGTACTAATCATCTCTTCAAACATCTCCCATGACTTGTTGTCGTGTGGTGATGAGTAGACAAACTGTTCAATCTGCAGAGAGGGACCCAAGGAGACCGTGAAAATGGGACAGGGAGAATAAACGAAAGGACTGAAGTGGGAGATATCCTTGTGATGGAGACATCCATGGAGACATGGATTATGTAGGAGACATAATCCTACACCGCTGGGAGTCAGGAGAGGCTGGGGCCCCCGCAGGATATGGGTGCTGGACTGGACTGGGGCTCCAAGAACAAACACTCAGTGGAGCTCTTATTATACACACGCCAGGTACCGTTCTAAGCACTTTGCCCCTACCAACCAGCTGAATCCTCACAGCAGGCCTAAGGAGGTTGATACTTATTATTATACTCCTTTTGTAGAGGAGGAAACTGAGTGTGGAGAGGTTAAGCAACTTGTTCGAGGTTACACAGCTGCTAAGTGGCCGAGCTGGCACCGGGACCCAAGCAGCCTGGTTCCAGGCTCTGTGCTCACAGCCACTCCAGCATGTGCTTCTTAGACAGAAAATGATGAACACGGCAAGAGGGAAGACTGGAGCTAAGGCGGGTCTGAGCACCACAGAGCCTGCTGCCCCTCTAACCACCCCAGAGAGATCGAGAGAAGGCTCCTACTCCTCACCCTGACCTGTCCACTCACCTTCTCAAACTGATGGACTCGGAAGATGCCGCGGGTGTCTCGGCCGTGGGAGCCCACCTCCTGGCGAAAGCAGGTGGACAGGCCGGCATATTTGATTGGCAAATCCTCGGGCCGCAGCCACTCGTCCCGGTGCAGAGCAGCAATGGGCTGCTCGGAGGTGGCAATCAGATATTTCTCATCATAGGAGTTGTCATCAGACTTTTCACTGCCTTTGCCAATCACCTGGAGGAGGAGGGACCCCTACTAGTTAAGAGTGAGGGATGGGGACCTCAGCTAGAGCAAGAAACCACAGGGAATTCTAAGAAGACAAAGGAGGAAATGGGTCACTCCAAAATGGGATCCCTCCTAGAGATCGAAAAAATGCAAATTAAAAGGAGAGAAAATATTCTGGTAATTTTTTTTTTTTTTTTACTGATCTAATAAATAAAACATTTATAAATAATGTATAGTAGCCAATGACAGCAGTGCAATAAAACCTGAGCTGGTAGCAATATACATCAATCCACTCAACAAACATTTGTTAGGCATTTGTAAGGGCCAAGTTTGCCAGTGCTGGCCAAGAGGAGACACAGTCTCTGCTCTCTTGGTGCTTATGAATTAGTGCAGGATTACACTCCTTCAAGAATCACTTTGGTGTTCCGCTGAAGAAAGTAACACAGAAGAAAAAAAGGTATAAACAGGACAAAGTTCATTGTAACATTACTTATGGATGGCAAAAAAGGAAGCCCCCTGAATATTTCCACAAGGGAAGAGTCAGCTATCCTACATCCAGACCACGTAATATTATGTAACCATTTGAAAATGTTGGCGATGAAGACCACGAAGGAACACTGAAATATGTTTCTGATGTACTGCTAAGGCAATCTATAGACATTGTAATTAGAAGAATGAGAAAACAATGGCTGTATGAAAAAAGCCCCCAAAAGTGTATTAAAAATGACAATTATGGGGGCACCTGGGTGACTCAGTGGTTTAAGCCTCTGCCTTCGGCTCAGGTCATGATCTCGGGTTCCTGGGACCGAGCCCTGCGTTGGGCTCTCTGCTCAGCAGGGAGCCTGCTTCCCCCTCTCTCTCTGCCTGCCTCTCTGCCTACTTGTGATCTCTGTCAAATAAATAAATAAAAATTATTTTTAAAATGACAATTATATGAGGTAATGAGAAAGAAGATGGTATTTCCTATCATTTCCAAATTTTCTGTCACGTGGTATTATTTTAATTTTAAAAAGAGGAAGGTGGAAACTTGCTCTAGGTCAGCATTTGGGGATCTGGAAGATGACACTGCTATTCCACAGTGGGAATTTAGCCACTAGCCACAAGTGGCTATTTAAATTAAACTAAAATGTAGTTCCTCGGCTTGCACTAGCCACATTTCAAGTGCTCACCAGCTATGCGGCTGATGCTGTCAAACTGGACAGTAGCTACAGAACATTCCCATCACTGCAGAGAGTTCTACTGGAGAGCATGGCTCCAGAGAATTCATAAACTGAGGTTATTCGGCAAGATGGGTCAGCCCAAACTGTCACTATGGGGACTCTCACGATGTGAGTCTCCCTGCACAGGGATCCAAGAAGCATCTGCAGAGAGACAGAGAATGCAGGAAACATAGCAGGGACACCTGCTACCTAGTGTCTCTCTCATAACCCTCATATAAACTTCTCCTTGACGTTACCTACGGAGCACCCTTCTAAAGCTCTGTGATGATCCAACCTGGGGGTTGAGATGGAGAAAAGAAGAAAAGAGAAAACAGCTTTTGACTAATACATGAACACATTTCTCTCCACATTAAAATAAAGAAAGGGGAAAGAAAGAAAGAACGAACAAACACATCCACGCACGCCTGGGTGGCTCAGTCAGTTAACCGTCCAGCTCTTGATTTTGGCTCTGGTCATGATCTCAGGGTCATGGGATCCAGCCCTACTTTGGGCTCCATACTCAATGCAGAGTCTGCTTGAGACTCTCTCTCTCTCTCTCTGCCCCTCCCCGCCTCGCTCTCACTTGCTCTCTCTAAATAAATAAATACATAAAATCTTTAAAAAAAAGGAAGAAGTGGGGGAGAACACCAAGGTTAGAATAGTCCTTAGGGTTTAGAGAACATTTTGCTTCCTACTGCATTCTTTTTATTTTTTTATTTTTTTTTTAATTTTTTTTAAAGATTTTATTTATTTATTTGACAGACAGAGATCACAAGTAGACAGAGAGGCAGGCAGAGAGAGAGAGAGGGAAGCAGGCTCCCTGCTGAGCAGAGAGCCCGATGCGGGACTCGATCCCAGGACCCTGAGATCATGACCTGAGCCAAAGGCAGCGGCTTAACCCACTGAGCCACCCAGGCGCCCCCCACTGCATTCTGAATAAGAACATAACTTGAACATAACTTGAACTCTTCAACCCAATGGGAAGAAGTTCTATTAAATTCCTCTCTAAGGGGCGCCTGGGTGGCTCAGTGGGTTAAGCTGCTGCCTTCGGCTCAGGTCATGATCTCAGGGTCCTGGGATCGAGCTCCGCATCGGGCTCCTTGCTCAGTGGGAGGCCTGCTTCACTCTCTGCCTCTCCCTGCCATTCTGCCTGCTAGTGCGCACGCTCTCTCTCGCTCTCTCTTTCTGACAAATAAAATCTTAAAGAAAAAAAAAATTCCTCTCTAAGGTAAGTCATGTGAGCCCAGGAACACTGTCTAACTCCTCCCCAGTAAGAGCCAAGTCAGCCCCTTCTGACAGAACAGTCTTGGAGGGGAAGGACAGGTGAAAAGTAGACTATGCTGTGAGGGGCAGCGGGTAGCAGAACCTCTAGAAATTCTGAGTACTACAGCTGGCGGTGAAGCCAGCTTATCAAAATGAGCTTCTGACTCTGAACATGAATCCTCTCATTCTCCCTGAGATGCTCCGGGGTTGAGAAAAAGCCCCAGACTGGAAGCCACATCAATCCCAAGGGAAGTATGTTTTGCCCTCTAGCTTCTAGTCTGGGGTTAGGAGTAGGAGGACATGGGAAGATTAGCTGCTTCTACAATTTTCTTTAGTCCAAGCACTCAAAAAATGTGCTTTCTTCTGAAGCTCATGGTGTTAAAAGTTTGCGTCATTTATTTATTTATTTATTTTTAAAGATTTTATTTATTTATTTGACAGACAGAGATCACAAGGAGGCGGAGAGGAAGGCAGAGAGAGAGGAGGAAGCAGGCTCCTTGCCGAGCAGAGAGCCCGATGTGGGGCTCGATCCCAGGACCCTGGGATCATGACCTGAGCTGAAGGCAGAGGCTTTAACCCACTGAGCCACCCAGGTGCCCCAAAAGTATGCTTCATTTAGATAAGTCATATAGATTATCTGGGGAAAGATAAAACAGGCTCTATATCTGCACGGTCCAGTATGGTAGCCACTAGCCACATGTGGCTACTTAAGTTAGAATTAATAAAAAGGAAAATTCTATTTCCTCAGTTGCACTAGCTACATTTTAAGCACTCAACAGTCATGATACAGGCAATCTCCACACCACAGAAGTTCTGGACAGTACCGCTCTGTATCTTTGAGGTTAAACTTTTTATAACTTAAGTCATTCTGTCACACTGCCCCAGGCTACTTACCTTATAAAGTTCTTCATCAAACTGGCTGAGCTGCGCCACTTCCTGCATGACCTCCTTCCTCATGAAAAAGGGGGTATAAATGGGGGTGTAGCCCCGACTCCCCAAGGTGCGAAGGGCATACTGGATGAGCGCCTGTTCCAGGAATACCAGGACACCCTACAGGAGCAGAGACAAAGCACTGCGTGACTGGGTTCTGTCACCATCACATTCATTTGTTACAATTTACACTCAGAGGCAACTGGGGGCCCAGGGGAGGCCAGCAAAGACCGTGAACCTCAACACCTTACTCAAGAGATTCTTTCTTAATACCAATGCCCAGCCCATCATCCAGGCACACTGTCAGGAGAAGCAAAGTGAGGCAGAAAGGATGATTTGCTCAGGGTGCACAGGAGAGCTTTCTTGCACTAATTTTAAAACAGCAGACATGTGTGTGTATGTAGAACATACTCTGTGTATATGTATCCCCAAAATTATTTTGGGGGATGCCCTCCCAGAAGTCTTCTTTGAATTCATCAGCCCTCTGTCCCAACTACTCTGGGTCTGCTGCCTCTGTTTACCTGTTCTCATAGCTCTCTGGGCCCACCCACCCTGCAGCACTCATCAGTGGGTTTCAACTCTTCGTTACTTGTCTGGCGGTCCAGTTCCACTCAGCCCCTTAAAGGCAGGCTGTTCTGATCCAGACAGCACAACATGTCTCCATAACGGAGGATCACATAGGGGCTCTGGTTCTAGGGAATTCGAAGCAGCATTCTCCTGCCTCAGAAAGAGAACTGCATCTGACTGCCAATCCGTTTGCAGGAGAAAGGCAAGAACAAATGGTGGATTTGTGGGCCTCTTTAAGTAGGTTATGTTTTCCCCGCACACAGTTTTTTTTAGCTCCTTCTTTAGAATCCCATCACCATGGGTTCCTGACTCTTACCTTCAGGAAATAGCCTCGACTTCCAGCCACCACGGCCCCCTTTTCGCCTTCAAAGCCATCTACCATCACCACCAGGTCCACGTGAGAGTACTTCTTCCTGACTGTACAATCGCCCCAGATCCTCTCTACTTTGTTGTCGGCATCCTAAGGAAAGAAGACTGGTGACCGCTGAACTGCACAACCTCCAGCTTTCCAAACCCCATTCCAAGAACAGCTTAGAGCTTTGCAAAACTACTGCTTAACTCAAACACTAGGTTTTGGTCGTTGTGTCCAGAGACTAAGGAAAAGAATTTGCTAGAGAATTTGTGTTCAATGGAGAAATAAACATTTACAAATTCCTAGAAGTGATTCTAGCCATGGAACTGAAATCATGAATTTTTAAGAGATTTGTCCTACTCTCACATTTGCTTTTTTTTTTTTTTTTTTTTTTACCCTTTTAAATGACTCCTTGAAAATCCTGCTACAGGACATCTACACACCCCCACCCCCATCAGCATCGCCTGGGGTGCAGAGGAGAATGTAGACTTTTTTTTCTTTCCAGGCTCTCATTGGTTCTGGGGCCATATGAGGGCGGGCTCAGAGCCCTGACCTCCCTAGTCTCCCACCCCAGCCTGCAGTGAGTTTAAGGGCTCGTTCACCAGGGAATGAATGAAAGAGGCACAGATGGGCCCAGCCACGGCTGGGGTGTCAGAGAACAAAGGCTGGGCTCAGAGCAGCTTTGTGCTGGGGAAGCTCCCACTCAGCAGGAAACTTTTATCATGCAGATTTCCCTGCAACCTGCAGCTTCTCAGCGGGGTGTGGGTGAGGGGTGAGGTTGATTTCGCAGATCCCTCCCACAGGGCTCACTGCTACCACGGGCAACACACAGTGGAGGACAGCAGCCCGATTTAGAAGAGATATCTGGGCCAGGAGTCTCCTCCTACCTGCTGTCTCTGCTACTTCCCAATCAGGCAAGGATCTGACTCTTTCAATTCTCAATTGGTGGGCAGAGCGAATATACAAAGAGCCTGCTTCTGACACAAGGCCTATTATACAGAGAGTGCCAGCGTTTCCCAGTGCCCCTCCCGCCCCCGCCCCCGCCCCCTCCCCAGCAGAGAGGAGCGCCAGGCAGGCTGCCGCCCGCTGGGGCACGGACACCTACCTCATCATTGCTGATGGGCACGGAGGGATGCAGGAGGTTCCCGATCTCTCGGAGGTTCTCAAACCGCTCTGCTTCCAGCTTTATCCGCTCGGCATCACATTTTAGGATGGCCTCATCGATGAGGAGTCGGACTTTTTTGATTTGTGAGACTTTCAGGTTCTGTAGATAAATAGGCCAGGCCGGCACCCAAACCACAGCAGGTCAAGGTACAGAGGAGGAGTAAGATTCTGTTGCCCTCACCTTGTGCTCCAACGACAACCCTTGCGATAGCATTTTAAAAATCAGCAATGAAGGCTTTCAAAGAACTGAGATTTATTTCAAACGCACGCACACAGCTTTGCCCTGACAAATTCGTTGGCATTTTCAGGGGTACCTAAGGAAGGGTTGGATTAATTCTGGCCATTCTTCTTAGTCCTATATCTCAGGGGTTTTAATACTGTATCTCTTTTAAGAGCTCCTTCTCTTAACGCGTACTTTCTGATACTCCTGATGAAATCAATTTAGCACTCTTATGTACTACATTTAACCGTTCTCTAGGGAGATTACAAATTTATTAGAAGAGACCCTGTCCTTAGCTTCTTTTGTATTCCTTTTTGCAAGTGTTTCAATTACTGATTTCGTGGCGATGGGAGAGCCCTTAGCAAGTGGGGCTGCGCAGGAGTGGCGACCCCAAGCCACCCCTTCGAGCCCCCGCAGCTCTGCTTTTCTGTATTTACGCTCTTGCCATGCTTTTGTGCTGCAGGTTTATGAAAGGGTCAGGTGACTAAAAAACTTGAAAATTACTTCTTTAGGTTCACTGTTGTGAATATTTACTGAATTATGCCAAACTGAAAAAAAATCCTTGACTTTGTGAAAACGAAATTCTATGAACCAAAGGTAGTTGGGCTCCTTTTTCCTCTTCTTCCTACTCTTGACTTTTCTACTCCATCCATCCCAGTCTCTGTGATCTAATAAGTACTCAAGGATCGAAACCAACAAGAGTGGAGGGGGACATTTCCCAGCTGCACACATTCAAGGAGGCTGCAATGCTGTGTGGAGCCGAGTGTCAGCACTTGCTTGTCTAGGAACAAAGTCACGATGAAAGAACAGAAATCCAGTCTAGAAAAGGGAAGTACAATAACTTACAGCTAAAGTGTCTACAGTGAGGTCATCGAGATTTAATACATCCTCCGGAATGGACTCATCTCCCACTGGCTCTTTTTTCTGCAGGGGAAACAAAACCAAAAAAACCCCCAATACTATTAAATAAAATTTCTGACCTAGTTTTACAAGGGCACACCAAATTAATATATAAACTAGCCACAGAATTTTCTATACAACTGTATCTAAGAGCCGCAACCTGTGAGAGAAAAATTTAGTGAGAAAATTTTAAGTCCTTATCCTGCCATTTTCTGGCTTTTTGGATCCTGGACAGATCAATTAATCCGTCAGGGTCAGAGGGCTGACATCAACAGGAATGTAAGAAGAATGTCCTCTCTGGACATAGAATAGTTATGGGCACCAAGAAGGTGTGAAAATGCTTGTATCACTGCCCAGCTCCGAGGCAGGTGCCTGGATGTGAATCTGTGAATCCCTGTCCACACCCTAAGAATAATCCCAGCACTGAGGCTAAGGGGAAAAAAAATGGATGGGATGATAGAATCGTAGGACACTGAGGAAAACAAAATTTTTGAGGAAAAGTCACCAAATCTAGAACCAAGTTTAGAGCAATCAATGCAACTTAGCAAAACTGCAGAATGTAAGCAGGGCTAGATTTTCTGCCCTGGTTCTCTTCTCACCCATCTTTGTGATATTCTGTCAGATCATTTCCAACGCTCGCCCAGAGCCATAGAGAAGATAAGTTGAGTCAAATTCTTCCCAAATTAAAAGTAGTTAAAGAAAATTATCACAGGCCATTATAACAAGATACGTACAACCTCAGCAAAACTTGCATAAAAGTAAGTTGAGGAGATCCAGGGTCTGCTTTGCAAGTATAAGTCATGTCATGTTCTAAAGATATTTTTAAAAATTCTATACATACAACAATAGGCAATTATGTTTATACAACCTCATATACCACTGCACAAAACTGAGTCATAAGAAAGAACTAAATCTCCTTGGGGTAAAATGTAGAAATCCTTTAGATTTATTACACAATCGCATATACTAAAGTGAGAAGTCAGGATGCTAACCATAACCAAACTCACACCTTTCAGTGACTCAAGTAAAATCATCTTAAAAAGTTGCAAACGTCTGAAAATCTCAGAATGAGTCTTGTTTAAGAATAAGCAGAGACTAGGGGTGGCTGGGTGGCTCAGTGTTGTTAAAGCCTCTGCCTTCGGCTCAGGTCATGATCCCAGGGTCCTGGGATCGAGCTCCGCATTGGGGGCTCTGTTCGGCAGGGAGACTGCTTCCCCCCCCCCTCTGCCTGCCTCTCTGCCTACTTGTAATCTCTGTCTATCAAATAAATAAATAAAAAATCTTATAAAAAAAAAATAAGTAGAGACTACTGAGGTAGAAAGAAATGGCCTAAACCTCAAGATTTTAGGAGCCATTTAGTAGCCAAGAGAGCTGAGGTCCCTTTGCTATCTGATAATCCCTCAGGGCAGCAAATTCAAGTTCTGAGTTCAAGTTCTGACTCTGCAACTAACTTACAATGTGATTTTAGGCAGGCTCCTTAATTTCCTAAGCCTATTCTCTTGCCCTCTTAATAAGGTTGACAAAGGTACTACCTACACTCCAGGTTTGCAGCAAAGATGAAAAACCAAAATGAAATGAATACTTTCAAGTGCTATACATATTAAAGCACTTTTTAAGACCATTCTAATGGATAGGAAGGGAGAACACTCCTTGTGGGGCTACAGTGAAGGGATATAACAATGCTACTGCAAATTAAAACACTTCCATCTTCTTGTTAGGAAAACACTAGGCTGGCACTATCTGTATGTGCCCCAAAGAATACACAGGCACGAGTGCACACTGGAATTTACATAATTATGGGCCCTCTGACATGCAAATGATTAAGCATCATGGGTCCCAAAGGAAGAAAACTATATGATTATCGGTATCAATTTCCACAGCCAGTGAAAAGCTGAAAGTGTAACAAAATACTGGTAAAGAGAACGATTCACACTATTATGAAGTGTACTAGAATCCAGAGGGAGTCTTTTTGTTATGTTCTTTCCTGGTTCGGGTTCCAAAATTTTATAATTTTTTTTGTTTAGTTGAGAAGTTTACAACTTAAAAATGAGACAGATTTGAGGGAGCATTTAATATGTTTTTTAAAAATGACTAAGGAGCTAAGAGGATATTTTTGAGGAAAGATTAAAAGCATGAACTATTCTGGATAGCAAAGCCAGGCCAAGCAAAAACTTAACATTCTTCAAGCACAGGAAGGATTTTTTGGATGAAGGCCAGTAACGACTTGCCCTCTGCTATTACTTGCAATTGCTGAATAACTACAGGGTTCTAGGCATTGTGCCAGCTTCTCTACATTTAAAAAAATTAGTTCTCACAATTCTGTTCTATAGGTGAATGTTAGTATTATCATTTCACAGATGAGAAAACTGAAGCTTAGAAATTAACTTGACTGAAGTCACATAGCCAACATTCTAGGATTTGGACTCCGTATCTGTGCCCTTTCCATTAAAGAGCATGACTACACTGAGTCAAAAAATCTCAAGTCCACCCTGAGAAAATCTGTCACTGTAGATTGGGCTCAAGAGGTACTTAGATAAGATTACTGGTGGAATTTATATTACTATAAGCACAAAACAGACAATGAATGAGCAACATGGCAAGAATCTTATCTTGCTACAGACTGAGTATTTTTGTGTTCCCCCAAACTTGTATGTTGAAACCTAATCCCCCGAGTGATGGTGTTCGGAGGTGGGGTTTTTCAGAGGAGATTAGGTTATGAGGGCAGAGATCTCAGAAATGGGGTTAGTGCCCTTCTAAGAGACCCCAGAGAGCTCCCTTCTATCAATGTGAGGACACAATGAGATGACTGCTATTTATGAATTGGGAAGTGGGCCCTCACCAACACGGAATCTGCCAGCACCTTGATTTTGGACTTCTCAGTCTTTCGAACTGTGAGAAATAAACTGCTCTTGTTTAAAAGCCACCCAATCTGTGGTATTCTGTTACAGCAGCTTGAAGGGTCTATGACTTATAGGACAGAAGACAGACTCACTGATCCCTGAAAGTGCCTCTTAGTCCCCTTTCCCACTTCTTTCCTTTCTTTTTAAAATATCTGTCCCTTTGGTAAGAAATTCAGTAGCTCACAGAATTAGACACTAGATTAGAAATTATGTGAGCACTAAGAGTGAGATTAAATACCTCTGCTCAAGCTCTCAAGGCTGTTACCTAGTTCTCTTACCTTCATTTTCTCTCCAATTGTCTTGCTGCACAGGTTCTTCAGCTTGTTCAAGTTGTCCGCCCGAAATCTGCCTGAAGAATAAAGAATCCAAGAATCTCCTTAGACAGATCTAAAGGATCTCATGAAATTGTGAAATCTTACATCTTTAAAGGCCCAAATTTAGTTGGCATATATTGGTGACAGGGGGTTCTCCCTGCATTTGGTGACAAGGAAAAGGCCCTTCTGAGACTGAAATTGGAAACTACCATAATCTGGACAATGCCAAGGTCAAGTAACAGATCTGAGGAACCTAGAAAAAGCTCAAATAACCATAACCTGCTCAATTTTCTTAAAATCCATTGAAAGAAACTATGTGATATGCACTGGGATCTGGGAAGAAAGCAATCCTGTTTCGAGTCCTGTGAACGTGGTTGCAGTATCTTTGTGCATCTCTGTGCTGGAAACAGTTAATGTTACTCCCTTTGCTCGGACAAAATCTCACCTGGCAGCCTGGAGAATAAGTTTCTTGTGCTTTAATTTCTTTGGGGGAAGATAGTGCACTAATCAGCCTACATGGGTATTTGGGCCCAAACTATTATGTCGGTATCGGTACTGTGGTTCATTAAGCTAAGCCTAATTGGCAAAAATCAGACCTCTTGAATCCAGGCTCAAGGACCAACCTGGTAAACGGCAAGTGTTTGACAGGTGAAATGACAACGAGAAATGAGACCGCTCCTTGGAAGCCATTTTTTTTTTTAAGGTTTTGCCAAACTTGAACTAAATGTCAGTACAACATGATCTACTTTCTCATTCCCTTACTTGGATTAAAGAGATGGGAACAGAAGAGTGAACACCAGGGCTCGGAGGGGAGAGGGGAACGAGAATGGACTACAAAGAGACAGAGAGAGGGATCTCTGTGATGCTCTCTGTGTCCTGTCCTGCACAGTGTGACAGTGGTTATACAAATCTACACATGGGATAAAGTTGCAGAGAACTACACACCCACACACCCATACCCACACCCACACACACACACACAAGTGCATGTAAAACTAGTGAAATCTGAATAAGGTCTGTGAATTATAGCAATGTCGATTTCTTGGCTTTGATACTGTACCAGTTGTGTTAGATGTCATCTGTGGGAGAAACTGGGTAAAGGGTACATTGGAACTCCTTTTACTATTTTTGCAACTTTGTGGGAATTTTTAAGTATTTTAAAATAAAAAGTCTTTAAAAATTTTATTTAGTCCCTCCTACTTGCAAGGCCCTGTATTAAGTGCTGGGAATAAAAAAGAAAATTACGTACTAGGTGCTGAAAGTAAAAGAAAATAAGACAAAAAATAACAGTGCTGAATGTTTCAATCAATGAATATAGCATATCTCATCACTATCTTTAATTTCTCTCTGCAATGCTTTTATAGTTTTTAGTGCAGAGATCCTGAATGTCACTTATTAAGTGTATTCTAGGCATCAGATGCTTTTTGTTATTTATATATAGAAATATCTTGTGATCTCTGTCAAATGAATAAATAAAATCTTAAAAAAAAAGAAATATCATTGATTCTGTATATTGTATACAGTGATCTTGCTAAAGTTAATTTTATTGGTTTATTTATCCTTAATATTTTATTTATTTAATTTGTCAAAGAGAGAGAGCACACAAGTAGGGAGAGGGGCAGAGGCAGGACCCTGGGATCATGACCCGAGCCAAAGGCTGACACTTAAGTGACTGAGCCACCCAGGCGTCCCAAATTTACTTTATTTTTTTTAAGATTTATTTATTTATTTGACACAGAGAGGGAGAGAAATAGAGAGAAAGAGATCATAAGGAGGCAGAGAGGCAGGCAGAGAGAGAAGAAGCTGGCTCCCTGCTGAGCAAGGAGCCCGATGTGGGGCTCAATCCCAGGACCCCTGAGATCATGACCTGAGCCAAATACAGAGGCTTACCCCACTGAGCCATCCAGGCACCTCCCAAATTTACTTAATTTTAACAGTTCAGGTCTGCATACATAATCAAGTCATCCACAAATAATGACAGCTTTACTTCTGTACCAGTCTTTTTTTTTTTTTTTTAAAGATATAATTGATATATAACATCGTATTAGTTTCAGGTATACAACATAATGATTTGATATTTGTATACAATGCAAATGATCACCACAGCAAATCTAGTTACCATCTGTCATCACACTCTATTCTAATTTTTTCTTCTTTTTTAAAGCAGGCTTCACACCCACTGTGGGGCTTTAATGGACAACCCTGAGATTAAGAGTCGCATGCTCTACTGACTGAGCCATCAGGCACCCCCTCCTTTTTTTTTTGCCTTATATCATACTCTCTAGAACCTTTAGCATGATGTGGATTAGAGGTGGCGGTAGCAGATGTCCTTGTCTTGTTCCCAACCTCAGGGGGAAAGCGTGTGGTACTTCATCATTAAGAATATTAGCTATAGGGCGCCTGGGTGGCTCAGCTGGTTAAGCAACTGCCTCCGGCTCAGGTCATGATCCTGGAGTCCCAGGATTGAGTCCCACACCAAGCTCCCTGCTCAGCAGGGAGTCTGCTTCTCTCTCTAACCCTCTCCCCTCTCATACTCTCTCTCTCACTTTCTCAAATAAATAAATAAAATCTTAAAAAAAAAAAAGAAGAATGTTAGCTATAGGGGACACCTGGGTGACTCAGTCAATTAAGCATCTGCCTTCTGCTCAGGTCTTGACCCCAGAGTCCTGAGATCAAGTCCCACCTTGGGCTCTCTGCTCTGCCAGGAACCTGCTTCTCCCCTTACCTGCTGCTTCCCCACTTGTACTTTCTCTGTCAAATAAATAAATAAAACCTTAAAAGAAAAAAAAAGAATGTTAGCTATAGGTTTTTTGATAACTATCTATTATTAGATTAAGGCAGTTCCCTTCTATACCTAGCTTCCTGCATTTTACCATGAGCAACTGGAGCAACACAGGAAAAAATGAACTTGATACCTATCTCACATCGTACACCAAAATCAATGTGGGATGAGTCATCCACCTAAGTATGAAAGGCAAAGTAATAAAACTTGTAGAGGGGCGCCTGGGTGGCTCAGTGGGTTAAAGCCTCTGCCTTCGGCTCAGGTCATGATCCCAGGGTCCTGGAATCGAGCCCCGCATTGGGCTCTCTGCTCAGCAGGGAGCCTGCTTCCCTTCCTCTCTCTCTGCCTGCCTCTGCCTACTTGTGATCTCTGTCTGTCAAATAAATAAATAAAATCTTAAAAAATAAAAAAAATAAAACTGTAGAAAAAATATTGGAAAAATCTCTTCAGGAACTTGAGATATGAAAAGATTTCGTAAACAACACAGGAAGCACAAACTACAAAGAGGAGATCTATAAATTAGACTTCATTAAAATTAATATATTTTTAAAAGATTTATTTATTCATTTTAGAAAGAGAACAAGAGTGCATGAATGGGAGGAGGGGCAGAAGGAGAGGGAGAGAATTCTCAAGCAGACTCCCTGCTGAGCGTGGAGGCCCCTAGAACCCTGAGATCATGACCTGAGCTAAAATCAAGAGTTGGACACTTAACTGAGTCATCCAGGTGTCCCTAAAATTAGTAATTTCTATTCCTTAAAAGACTGAAAGAGCAAGAAGCAAGTTACAGACTGGGAGAAAATACGTGCAATATACATATCTGACAAGGCCTTCTATCCAGAAAGGATGAAGAATTCCTACAAATCAATAAGAAAAAGACAACCAACCAAATAAAAATTGGTCAACATTCTTGAACAGACACTTCTCACAACAGGCTATCCAAATACTAACAGGGACATGAACAGGCGTTCAGTATCTTTAGTCACCAGGAAAATGCAAATTAAAACCAACAATGAGATACCACTATATACCCACCAGAGTGTCTAAAACTAAATTAAATTAAAAAGACTGTTAATATTAAGGGCAAGGAGGTATAACAACTAGAATTCTTATTTTGCTGGCAGGAGTGGTGACTGCTATAACTACTCTGGATAACTATCTGGAAACATCTACTAAATCTAAACACATACCTACCTTATTATCCAGCAACTCCACTTGTATATACCGAACGGAAAGGAGTGCTTATGTCTACCAATAGATACACAAAACAATGTTCATAGCACTTTATTCATAATACCCTCAAACTGTAACAAACCAAATGGCTATCAGCAGAAATGACTGATACAGCTATATGATAACTGGTGTATTTACATAATGGAATACTGTGCAGCAATGAAAAAGACCAAGCCACCGCTTCACATGAAAAGATGGAATAATCTTACAGACATAATTTTGAGAGAAGCCCAATTCAGGCAAATTAATTTTGCCTGATTTTGAACTCAATATTAATGGAAAAATATATGCTATATAAGTCCATTTACATTAATTTCAAAATCAGGAAAAATTAACTGATGGTGACAGAGTGCAGATAAGGTTATTTTTGGAAAGGGCATAAGGGAGCCTTTATTGGGGTGCTACAAATGTCTTTGATCTTGACCTGGGTTAGAATAGGTTAGTTAGATAGGTATACAGCTTTGTAAAACCCATCAAGCTACACATTAAAATCTATACAGTTCACTGAATACATCTCAGTAAAAAAATAAGTTTAAAAAGGTTGTATATAAAAATACTATAAATGTCACAATTAGACATATGAGATAATATATGGAGAACACACAAATAAGGGAGTGCTATGGGAGCAGAGTTGGTCTGGCAAGGAAGGCTGATGGGAACGGGGGAAGCAGATTGATAAGGAATATTCCAAGCAGCAGCAATAATCATGGACGTGTGAAAGGCCATACAGGTAGAGTAATAAGGCTAGAACAAAGACTGGAGGGGATATGTGGGAGAGTGACAGAAGAAGAGGCTAGGAAGACATGTGGGGCTTTGTAAATTGTGTTAAGTAATTTGTATTTTCATGCTTTAGGGCTACACTGTCTGATATGGTAGCCAATAGCTACGGGAGCCTACTGAGCATTTGAAACACGGCAAGCCCAAACTGAGATACACTGTACGTGTAAAATATACACCAAATTTTGAAGACTTGTAAAAAAGAAAAAGAATGTAGGGGTGCCTGCGTGGCTTAGTCGGCTAAGCGTCTGCCTTCTGCTCAGGTCACGATCCTGTGGCCCTGGGATCGAGCCCCATGTTGGACTTTCTGCTCCGTGGGGAGTCTGCTTGTGCCTATTCCCCTTCCTCCTGCTCTCTCTTTGGCCCACTCTATCTCTGTCTCTGTCAAAAAAAAAAAAAAAAAAAATTTTTAAAAAAAAAAAAGGAAAAAATGTAAAATATCTCAATTTTTATACTGATCATATGTTGAACATACAATTTTTGATATACTGAGGTAGTTATAGTATCTTACTAAAATGAACTTCTTGTTTTTCTTTCCCTTTCTAATTGGCTACCAGAAAGTTTACAAATTTATTTATTTGAGAAAGAGAGAGAGCGAGCATGGGTGCATGCATGAGCAGGGGGAGGGGGAAGGGGACAGGGAGAAGCAGACTCCCTGCTAAGTGTGAAGCCAGATGCAGGGCTCCACACAACTCAGGGCTCGATTCCAGTACCCTGAAATCATGACCTGACCTGAAGTCAGAAGTCAGACACTTAACCGACTGAGCCACGCAGGTGCCCTCAGACGGCACTGCTTTAAGGTAAGAATGTCACAGCAAGACTTAAATCCAGATATAAAATGATTCGATTTCCATTCCAAACAGATCACATGTCCTGGATGTGACTCTGCACTAGGTGAGACTGAGGTAAAACTGAAAGCCGTTAGAAAGTTCTCCCAAAGAGAAGGACCTGGCTTAAGGCATGTGCAGTAAGATGGTAAAGAGAAATTTCATTCAGTATAGCACAGGCTAGATAGAATTCCTATAACCACCAGCAGATTTCAAGATACACTAGTAGTTTTGGAAATAGTATATATTTATATATTTGGAAATAGTATATATATACATATAGAAATATGTATATAATCTAGCAGCATTGGAAATAGTTGAGACAAATCCTTATTGTATGTTCAAATGTGCTATATTACTCTAAATTTAAAAAGAAGAAATCACAGTTTGAATCCTTGGAGTTAGAAGAGTTGTGGTAAACACCGATGTGATACTATGATTCCACGTTCTATCAGATACCTGTGTTTCACACAGAGCGCTAGTGGCACCTTGAATGTCCATAGGCAGACAAATAGGTATACATGTGGAGCCTACTGAGTCCTCAGTCAGGGAACATGATCTGCGTTTTTAATGTGGCTCTGGGTTACACATCCTTGCAGTCAATGACATTGCAGTCAATGACAGAAGAACCTTGATATAAAATACAAGGTCAGTCAATGTCCAAATTGGGCTGCCAGTGACCTGGGAAAAATCATTAATTCCTTTTGTCTAGCAAGAGAATATTGGGAAGGGATGTTAGGTAGAACAGAATCAAATCAACAGATGTGTTGAAAATGAACTACACATAAACTGTTTTTCATACAGAAGGGCAAAGTGCCCTGAACACAGAAGATATTCACGAATTCAGTAAACCTTTGTCAAGTCCTTACCAAGAACCAGGTGCAGGGATTATATGTAGGTAACCTGATAGGTACTGGGATTATATGTATACATGTGTATATGCATATCCTGTATGTGTATGTATACCCCAGCTATTGGGACATACAGGTAAATAAAACACGAACTTGTCCCAGAAGAACTTATCCCCTCACCATATATCCACTCATCAAGTAAGGAACAGAACTTCCTGTGGAAGTGTACATTATACACAAAAGACTACCTAACACATTCAAAGTCACTTAACAGTTGTACAATAACTCGACTGACAAAATCTGATACTTCTGACTTCTAATTCAGTAAAGCAGCGTCTAGGCTAGTTTTTTTTCTTCCACTTAATTCCACTGCAACTCAAAAATTCAGATTTAGATTCAGGAGGTGGGATCTCACACTCAAGCAAATACCACATCTGAATGAATGAGACCACAGAATCAGCAGACAACAGAAGTTAAACCAATACTCTTTTCCTACCCAATGCCCTGATAAATTTAGGAAAATCAATTTTTCTAACAGAAATCCACCACACTTTTGGACAGCGAGGGCCTTTGCAGTGTGCTGTCATAAAACCTGGCTCTCAGCTGGTTACAGACCTATTGCATCAGACAAAAAAAAAAAAAAAGAAAGAAAGAAAGAAAGAATCACGTGCGCTTGACAGCTTCCGGCCAATCAGTGACTACCCCAGTTAATCCAGGCACAAGTTGATAGGCAGACGGTTCTCTGGTTTTATTTAGCTTCATGAAAGATGCCCGGATCAGATCCTAGACCAACTCTGCTAATGTCTTTTCCGGAAAACTTGCACAAATCACAAACAGGCTCAATAATTACAAGCTTGTTCTTGCCTCACGGCACTCCCCTCCCCATGCTTGTTCTACTACGGTAAAGTCTTTCCTCGATTTTTAAAGGTATGCCTGCAGGTCAGGGGGATGGCCTCTTCCAAAGCTTTGGGATCATTGCTTTTTAGTCATGAGCGGCTTCCGAAGTCCCCAAACACTTGCAATATGGGTGGACTGAACTATTACGCTGCAGATGTGACTCAGTCTTAGGCTGGAGCCTTTGGTCCTACCAAATTAGAGGGAGACCACTCGGGCCTTGCTGAAGATGAAAAGGGATCGAAGGAGACCAAAGATGAGTGTTCAGAAACCCCCGAACCTCTCGCCCTAGCTTTCTTTTGGCTACCCTTCCTGCAGGAAGACTTGACAGCTCTCGCTGCGCACGCGCCATGCTCCTTCCCAGACAGCCCAGGGATCCGCACTGAGCACGCGTGGAAGGGAGCACCCAGGGCCCGGGCAGAGGGAAAAGGCAGGATGGTCCCGGCTCGCACAGTGCGTTTCAGGGGACAGTGAGAGCCTCGGAGTCACCGCAACCAGAGAGGGGACTGACGAGGGATGGAAGCTGTGGCCTCAGGCAGTAACGAGATCGGAGAGATGAAGTTGGGATTACAACCCGGGGATACCCGGCGCGTCCCAGTACTTACATCGTCGCCACTCTCCGTCTGCCTTCACCAGCTGATCTACTAATCCCGGGTCTTTGAAGCGCTTCTCCTGAGTCTCTCGGATGAGGGCTGGGTCCCCTCCTTTATCTACCCGAAACAAATCCAGATCCAGCACCATCTTCACTTCTCCCCGGCCAACGCTAAGGGACGTAAGGAACGTAGCACAGCGTCCAGTGACCACCGCACTGCGCCGGCGCGCTGACCCGCCCTCCCCGCGCAGGCGCAGCCAGAGAGCGCAGGCGCCCCCTCTCGGCCGGAAGCAGCTGTGTTGGAGGCACGGCTGCAGGAAGGAGGAACGTGGAGTGGTGGGGCGTGGGCGTCTCAGGTTGTGTGCGGGTCTGGCCTGGCTAGTGGGTTGTCCCGGTCTTCTGCATCCTCCTCAGCCCTGCCCCGTCTGTAGCATCTCTGATTATCCTATAGAAGCGAGTGCCTCAGTTTCCTCCTCGTGTTAAAGGGCATCTCTCTGGTTAGGCAGAGGCCTGCCGGTATGATCTCCGGCTTGGAAGCTAGAGCTTCCAGTAGTTGCCAGGTTTTGTCTTACAAGCATGGTTCCTGAGACTGGACCCTCTTTCTGGACCTCTGTTCTTTCCATCATCTTGAGACAAGAATATATGGCTACAGGGGCGCCTGGGTGGCTCAGTGGGTTAAAGCCTCTGCCTTTGGCTCAGGTCATGATTCCAGGGTCCTGGGATCGAGCCCCGCATTGGGCTCTCTGCTCAGCAGGGAGCCTGCTTCCCTTCCTCTCTGCCTGCCTGCCTCTCTGCCTACTTGTGATCTCTGTCAAATAAATAAATAAAATGTTAAAAAAAAAAAAAAGAATATATGGCTACATGTTTTAGTCCCTGTGTTACCTCAAGATTCCTGCTCTCCTGCCTTAGAGCTAGGATACCTTTCTTTTCCTTTTTTTTTTAAAGATTCTAATTACATATCTGACAGATCACAAGTAGGCAGAGAGGCAGGCAGAGAGAGAGGAGGAAGCAGGCTCCCTGCTGAGCAGAGATTCCCAGGACCCCGGGATCATGACCAGGGCGGAAGGCAGAGGCTTTAACACACTGAGCCACCCAGGAGCCCCTAGGATACAGTTCTTAACGTGATTACTGAGTAAATCAGGTTGTTCTATTACCAACCTTTTGGATTACAGGATTGGAAAGGTGAGATTGAAATATTTTAGAGAGGGGCATGAGGAGCCTTTTCCACGGGGTAAGTATTCAGGGGATTTGAAGGCAGTACAAGGTATTGAAGTCATTTCTTGGGTCTATTTAAAACTCCTAGAAGGAAGATTTCACCGTATTTTCATTTTATAATGTTCAGGCCCTTACAGTGAAATATTTTTATATATAATTTTTTAAAAAGATTTTATTTATTTGACAGAGATGACAAGTAGGCAGAGAGGCAGGCAGAGAGAGAGGAAGAAGCAGGCTCCCTGCTGAGCAGAGAGCTCGATATGGCACTCAATCCCAGGACCCTGGGATCATGACCTGAGCAGAAGGCAGAGGCTTTAACCCACTGAGCCACCCAGGTTCCCCTTACAGTGAAATATTATGGCTACTGATTGGAGCCAAAGTTATCAAAAATAATGAGATTATTTAGATAAAGTAAAGATAATGAGATTATTTAGAACCCCACCCCCAATGCCCCCCCAGCTAGCTGTGCTAAGTCTCTCTTGGTCTTACAGCCATTGCATGGGCTCCTGTGATGAGGATATGGCATTGCTATCCCTGCTTTCCAACAATGTCTGCCAAGCCAACTTAGGTGTAATGTAGGGCAAAAGACAGTGGTGAAGCTGACAAGTAGAGATCCGGAGGGGGCCTTCGGTAAGGGGATTGTCTGGGTTTGCCTCCCTAGGTTCAGTTTGCCTAGGATGCTAGACTTAAAACCAGTGAAAAGGACATGTAGGCAGCTGCAGTCTCCCGAGAAAACATGTAAGAAAACTGTCTTCATAATGTTAAGTTGCCTGAAACCTTCTGAGGGCAAGGTCTGATAGGGGCTGACTCTTCCCTGTCCGTGAAGGCACTGCCAGAGTGTGTTCTTTGCTAAGTTTCAAGACAGTGATGGGTGTTCTTGAGGCTGCACTGGGGCCTGGGCGGAGGAGGTTCACAAGGCTAATCCTATAAGGAGGTCATCAGTATAATTGGATGGATGGCCTTAAAATTCCAGCCTCCACAAATTTCTTTAGGAATTTTCACCATTAGTCTTATCATTATATTATAGTCATCTTCCTTTAAAATGCTCATGTTAGGGGCGCCTGGATGGCTCAGTGGGTTAAAGTCTCTGCCTTCCGCTCAGGTCATGATCCCAGGGTTGATCCAGCCCCACATCGGGCTCTCTGCTCCGCGGGGAGCCTGCTTCCTCCTCTCTCTCTGCCTGCCTTTCTGCCTACTCGTGATCTCTGTCAAATAAATAAATAAAAATATTTTAAAAATAAAATAAAATGCTCATGTTACCTGATAAATATAACAATTACCATAATGGCATACTTCATCAACTTAGGAATCATAGAATTTTTAGAGCTGGAGGTGAATCTTAGGTAATTGCTAGCCTAGTAATTCCTAATCTTTTCATCACCTTGTCCCCGTGTTTTAAAATATGTTTAACAAACGTGATTTTAACAAATTCATTTTCCCTTCTTATTCATCAGACATATACAGCCGCCAATTAGAATTTCCAATCAGCAGAAAATAAAGTGTTATTACACTGCCAGAAACTAACACAAAAACAAATCCACAATAGTACTTCAGTTATGGGGTGATAACCACTTTTGGATGTGTGCTTTCCATTGGCCTTTAATACTGAGAACAGCTATTGGGTGCTAGAGCTGAGGACCCAGGGATTCAAGGGTTCAAGGAAAACAGGTATGTCAACCCCTTCCTCTTCTACACAAGAACACTGAGGCCCAGGGAAATTAAGCAATAGAACCAAACCTGAATACTGGTAAGATTCCAAGATAGTCTCATGTTTGAGCTTGTTTCTTTGTTAGCATTCCATAGCAGAAAAGAGAGCCGTGAGGAACTTGGCTAGAAGATGTGGCTTTTTCTTATAGGGCAGAGACCCTTTATTGCATCTTTATCCCCACTGGACCTAGCATAGTGCCTTACACGGGGCAGGTGCTTATTATATCCTTATTGGGGATGTGAGTTGCAGGGAGTAGGCTGGGAGGTTAGAAGCTTGTTGCGGGTTCAGGGCCTCAGGGGTCCTGGGCAGCTGGTGGACAGCCCGTAGAGAATGACTACCTGCAGGGAAAGAGCAAGAAAAGAGGGAGGATCATGCAGCCCCAGATGCCATTCTCAGTTTTTACCAGTTCAGTGCTGGCTAAAGTAGGAGGGCTCTCCTGGGTCTTGTTTCAGTACCTCTTTGCATTCCTCTTTTTGTCTTGGATCTGAAGGAGGATTTCTCAGTGTTGGACAAGCGGGCCCTACCCTCTCACTCCCCTGCTAGAAACCATCAGTGGCTATCTGTTACCCTCGGAGAATGTCCAGATATGCCTTGCAAAGGCCTTCATGATCTGTCCTCTACCAAATTCTCTCAAATGTTCCCCTTATCTCTTGACATTCTTGACATTCCTCCTCACATTCCCCATGCTGCGCTACCTGTAGCACACCTTTCTTGTCTCTGAGCCTTTATACAAACCCCTTCTACCCGGAAACCCCCTTCCCTCCCCTGTTCCTCCAAACTGGCCAATTCCTTCTTCCTTCGGGAAGCTATCTGTGCTACACTATTCACCCTTCCCCCCAGATCAATGCAGCACCCACCCTTCTAGGTCCCTAGAGGACAGTAGCATTTTCATACTGTTTCAGGAGAAACTGACAACCCAACTCCCAGCTCGGGGCTGCCCACTCCCTTCTATCAGAGAGAGCCAGTAACAAAGGAAGTTAATGTTGCTGTCCTTAGATGATGTAGGAGGAACCATCTAAAAATAACATGGGTCAGGGAAAGTTGCCAGGATCTGGGCGGACTTTGATCCTGCCTCTCCCTGTTAGAGTTGGAAGGAGGTGTCCATTCTCCTACCACACTGTATGGTTTGGGCTATTACATTTTATGTGGGATTGTTAGCTTCAGGGCTAATATGAAATTAATATGTCAAATTCCCCTTGAACAGCTCTTAAATTATCGATGAACTTTTGTATATGCAACCTACATCAATTTCTTTGTCTCTTCAATAAGACTTGTTGCTCTGTGGTTTTCAACTAATTGTCTTCTTTAAGATTTAGATCAGTATCTTCTTGCCTTGTCACCTGACAATGTATTTCACTTCTTTGTCATTGATTGGGAAACCCTTAAAATCGTTCACATATCCATCCCACACACACATACCAGTTTCTTTTTTCTTTTTTTAAGATTTTATTTTAAAGTAATCTCTGCATCCAACATGGGGCTCAAACTCAAAGCCCTAAGGTCAAGAGCTGCATGCTTCATTGTCTGAGCCAGCCAGGTGCCCCTCCCACAGTTTCAAGCTTGGTCACGTCTGCTGCTTGTTTGATGCACTGGGACACTGCACAGTATATGATTGAATTCATGTAAATTAACTGTAGTATTCCCATGTCAGTGTTTCTTCACTATTGTGTCCTCTGTGGGTGAGCCAGGGAAAGATTCACAGTGGGGTGATTTTTTTTTAAAAAGATGTTTTTATTTGTCAGAGAGAGAGAATGTGCACACATAAGCAGGGGGGCAGCAGACAGAGGGAGGACCAAACTCCCTGCTGATCAAGGAGCCCGATGTTGGACTGGATCCCAGGATCCTGAGATCATGACCTGAGCTGAAGGCAGATGCTTAACCAACTGAGCCACCCAGGCATCCCCATAGTGGGGTGATTTTGAAGGCTGGGTGGGGGTCAATCAGGTGAAAAGGCAAAGGCAGAGGCATAGGCCAATGCTGGGAGGTGCAAAAGAGCTTATGAGGGACAGTCCAAAGTTGTGTGAATAGTGAGGTGTCTGGCTGGCTCAGTAGAGCGTGTGACTCTTGATCTCAGGGTTGTGAGTTCAAGCCCTACATTTAACGTGGAGATGACTTAAAAATAATTTTTTTTAAAAGTGTAGCTGGAGTGGAACCAATGTGGGCAGAGAGGGGGCACGTAGGCTGTTAGGGACCTTACACGCCACAACACTAACTCTGTTGCAGATGCACTTTCATCATCCATTACAATGGGGATAGTCCTTGCCTCTAGTTTAGATTTTATACCATAAACTGGACTGATATTTAGTTAACCATCAGTACA